TAACTCTTTCAGCATGGACTCTGTCCCTGGCACTGACTTCATAACCATTTTGTGCTTGTTATTGTTTTCATGCTATATCTTTCAGTAAGCGAATGTTAACAAAATTTGGCAGATTATCAGTAAACATTACAAAATATCAAATTTTGTTATTAAGCTTTAGGGTTTTTAAAGCAATGTTTTTCTCGTGCCTTTTTTTTCTTTTCGCATGTTGCCTACCAAACATGTAAAGTAATTTTCATTTTAAGATTAAAAATACTTTTATGCATTAGAAAATTTTCAGGTTTCACACATGAAATCTTTATAATGTCCAGATAGTTATCAAATGTTTCTTAAGAAAAAAAACTTTGTATTTGATCTGTTATTTTCAGTAACGAATCTCTGTACCACCATAAAAAATTAGGAAATAAATATAAATTATACCTCTTTCATACTAGAATACAACAAATTATAACATGAAAACATAAATATTTAGACTAAATAGCTTCAATCTCATAATATTATACATTTATATATATTTATTATTTTTCTTATGTTGACCTTTCAGCTGTGCCTGGCTAACAATACAGAAGTTACAATGATGCAGCACATGTACTCTTATGTTACCGTATCCAATAATATAAAAACTGACCTTTATTCTTTACAAAGTGACCTGTCTTGGCTGTTTTTAGTAGACTAGTATTCTGTAAAATACAGTCACATTTCAATTATTATACATATATATATATGTTTATAGATTATTGCTATTTAGAAATAAGTTCTTAAACTTATTTTTCTTAAAACATAACATAACATAATATTTTGGGACAACGTGGGATCTATTGGTTCATTTTCGCTGTTCCATCCTCAAAACTAAATTAAAATAATAATAAAATTTTAATCCCAACCCTTTTCATTCATATACTTATCAAGTTTTTTCTTAAACCCACTTAAACTTACCGCCTCTACAACATCTGAAGGCAACCCATTCCAAAGGCCAACCACCCTGTTAGAAAAATAAAACTGTCTTAGCTGAAGATGACTCCTACCTTGCTGAAATTTATATTGTGTCCCCTCGTTCTACTATTCTCATTGTTAAATATAAAAAAAATATGGTACATCAACAATATTAATTCCCTTTACAATCTTAAACACCTCAATCAGATCCCCCCCTAACTCTTCTTTTTTTTTCAAGAGTAAACAGTTTGAGAGATTTCAGTGTCTTTTATAAGGTAAGGAGCTCAAGACTGAACACGATATTCCAAATGTGGCCTATCCAGTGACCTGTACAATGAATGGATAACCTCTTTAGGCTTGTATTCAATATTTCTATAGATACAACCTCAAATCCTATTTGCCCTACCACGGGCAACAGCACACTGCTTTGATGGCTTTAGAGACTGATCGACTATTACACCAAGATCCCTTTCCTTCATAACACTAAGGTTATTCCTATCCAAATTATACTTATAATTCATATTATGGTAACCTACATGCATTATCTTGCATTTATTATAATTAAAACCCATTTGCCATTTATTTGTCCAACTCACTAAATGATCTAAATACTTTTGTAAATCTTCACAGATAGCAACACCCAAGACCTTAATATCATCTGCAAATTTAAGTAATTTATTGACTATACCTTCATCTATGTTATTGATGTAAATCAAAAAGAGCAAAGGTCCTAAGACTGAGCCCTGGGGTATCCCACTTGTGACGTTAATCCAGTTTGACTGAACTCCATTTGTAACAACCCTCTGCTTTCTTCCATCCAGCCACTCTTCTATTACAATTTGCTAACTTATCCCCCACACCTATAGAGCTAATTTTTTTACAAGCCTTTTATGTGGTACCTTGTCATATGCTTTCTGAAAGTCCAGATACACCAAATCTACACCCTTACCCTCATCTACATAAGCAGTAATATTTTCAAATAATGTTAAAAGATTTGTAAGGCACAATTTTCTCTTAGTGAAATCATGATGACTATCCAATAAAATTCTAAGACATATCCAATCTAACCTCCTTCAAAACATTTGGGGAAATACTATCTGGCCCAGGAGCCTTATCGTTTTTTAAACTTTTGAATTTTTTCTTAACCAGCTCAGAATTGATGCAGTCATCCTGTTTGATCTCGTTTCCATTTATCAACTGTTTAAGATGTGGAGTACTGCTTAAATCTTCATTAGTAAAAGCTGAAGAAAAAGCAAAATTTAATAACCCAGCCATCTCGTAATCATCAGATACTAGCCTTCCTTTATCATCCCTCAAAAGGCCTATCCCAACATTTTGTTTCCCCTTAATATATTTAAAGAAATCCTTACTGTTAATTTTTACATTCTCAGCCAACCTTTTCTCATACATCCTTTTTAATGTCCTAATTTCCTGTTTCACCAACTTTCTTGATCTTCTATAATCTTCTAAGTCTCCTGTTATACCAGTCAATTTAAATTTCTTAATTTATATGCTTTTCTTTAATTTTATAGAACAGTAAATAAAGAAGTAAAGCAAACAATTATCTCTTCTAGTTACAACCTTTGTACTGGGTTGCTGCTTGACGTAGGTTGCTAAGCCTTTTAAAATTTTGCATGTGGAGGATATTAATCAAAACAATTTTTTTTAGGTTTTATATATACATTTGAATAACCAAAAAATCATAAATTACCATATCAATACCATAGAATTCCATTATAATTTATCAAGCGTAATAACTTAGCTGTAATTTAGTATAAAAAAATATGAAATTTCGAGCAGACTAAAGACACAACCTACCTTCCTGAAATTTTGGTTCGAAAGAGAGAAATGGCATCCTAAAAATTTAAAATGGCCAAGAAAGCCAATGGGGGATATTCTGAGCTTCTGGTTGGTTATTCATGTCATATATAGAAGTAAGTGTATATAAGGGAGTGTTTCCAAAAATGAAAAGAATTGGGCAGGGTGCCAGTGTGTTTGATTTATTACATGAGCAATATCTTACCAAATAGAAAAGATAAGACCTTGTTTTACATTATAGCTTGTTAATGTCGGTAATTTGAGTTCCTGATTCGTATGAAACTACAGACTTAGTATTTTGACATCACAAACATCTAATTTGAACCAG